AATTCATCTGATAGGCAGGAAAGAACAAGAGATTGGGGAACTTCTGCGAAGATGGCAGGAAATAAGAGGTTTCACTAAAGATAATGCTGAAAAAGCAGTTAATAAAAAATAGGCTCACAGGTAAAACAGCTTAAAGGAAAAAAAATGTGCGCTGGAGTAAATGAAACAACAAAAAAATAAAAATTAAGAGTTTAGGAAACCTTTGTGTTTGGATAGGTAGAAGCTGAGTGAGCCATGCAAAGGTAGTGTCAGAGGTACAAAGCAGACATAGGTGTGCCAAAAGGCACAGTACTATTGTGGCCAAACTTATCAAGGCAGAATATCATTAAAATTTTGATTGTCCTTCCAATTTTCATTCCAGACTCTGCTCCCAGGTAAACATTCTGCCCTTCAAAAAGTTAGTTTGGAACTGGAATCGAGAAACACAAATAATGGTGCCACATATAACAGTCACTCACGAGACAAACTCATTTAGCCTTTTTGGAGTTTCTAGTCAGAAGTCGGGCTTTTTCAGTTTGCATCTGAGATCCAAGGTTATTTCTTCATGAAGCAAGATAGAGAAAAACTGTCTTCACTACTTTTGAGCTATTCATGGATTAAAGCCATATATATATTTAACCAGAAAGCTTGTAGAAGACTAAAAGATGGTGATTGGAAATCTCAGGTTTGCTTTGCCTCATATGGCTTAAGGAGACACAGCATAACCTCATGTCCAACCGCTAAACAACGCCCACAGTGACACATAACTGTCAGTGTAGAAACAGAGGCCGGCAGAGGTGTAGGAGGACAAGGAGCCATAGTCAGTGAGGCTGCAGGTGCAGCAGGTCATGGCCACTAACCAGACCTGGTTTCTTACCCCTCACTCACCTCGAGTAGGTACCAAGATCTTCTCATGAAGAACCCTCACACAACATGATACAAGCTATTTTTAATCACAGAATCTTCTTCTAGGTTGGAAGGGACCTTAAAGATCATCTTGGCCAACCATCAACCTAATTTTGACAAAAATAAACACCCACACAACAAACAAAAACAAAAAGCAACATCATCAGTAAACCATACCTCCCAGCACTACACCAACCCATCTTTTGAACACCTCCAGGGATGGTGCCTCAACCACCTCCCTGGGCAGCCCATTCCAATGTCTGATAACCCTTTCAGTGAAAAAATTTTTCCCAATATCCAGCCTGAACCTCCCCTGGCGTAACTTGAGGCCATTTTCTCTTGTCCTATTGTCTGTGACTTGGGAGAAGAGACCGACCCCCACCTCTCTACACCCTCCTTTCAGGTAGTTGTAGAGAGCAATAAGGTCTCCCCTCAGCCTCCTCTTCTCCAGGCTGAATAACCCCAGCTCCCTCAGCCTCTCCTCATAAGACTTGTGCTCCAGTCCCCTCACCAGCTTTGTTGCTCTTCTCTGGACCCGCTCCAGCACATTACTGCTGTTTCCACTACCAGAAAATACTTGGACAGGACACCTCATCCGTCTGGGTGCCCATTACAATCATAGCATCGTTTCGGTTGGAAAAGACCCTTCTCTTTTAAATACCTCCAGGGATAGCGACTCAACCACTTCCCTGGGCAGCCTGTTCCAATGCTTAATAACACTTTCAGCGGAAAAATTTTTCCTGATATCCAATCTAAACCTACCCAAGAGGCAAAGTAGCCAATTCCTGCATGAGCCAAAGCTGCTGAACTTTTTCCTCTTCCTGCTGCTCACTTAAGCTTTTTTTTCCCTCACCACTCTCTCTCACCATCCAATGGAGCCAGTGATCTGAAGGTTGCTTCATCCCTTCTGTACCTAGGCCAGATAGAAAATTTACTAGGTGACCAAGTGACAGCATTATCACTGGAGACTATGAGGAAGGCTGGTGAGAAAGCTGAAGATCTCACTTTTTGCTGTATTTATGTTTTAAAGAAGTGGAGAGGCAAGGAATAATCAGAAACAGGGAAAAGGAAACATAAACAGAAAAAAAGCACAGCTAAATTTCAGAGTCTTCAGCATGAAGTGCTGAGAGACCACGAGAGCCACTGAATTCATCTGATAGGCAGGAAAGAACAAGAGATTGGGGAACTTCTGCGAAGATGGCAGGAAATAAGAGGTTTCACTAAAGATAATGCTGAAAAAGCAGTTAATAAAAAATAGGCTCACAGGTAAAACAGCTTAAAGGAAAAAAAATGTGCGCTGGAGTAAATGAAACAACAAAAAAATAAAAATTAAGAGTTTAGGAAACCTTTGTGTTTGGATAGGTAGAAGCTGAGTGAGCCATGCAAAGGTAGTGTCAGAGGTACAAAGCAGACATAGGTGTGCCAAAAGGCACAGTACTATTGTGGCCAAACTTATCAAGGCAGAATATCATTAAAATTTTGATTGTCCTTCCAATTTTCATTCCAGACTCTGCTCCCAGGTAAACATTCTGCCCTTCAAAAAGTTAGTTTGGAACTGGAATCGAGAAACACAAATAATGGTGCCACATATAACAGTCACTCACGAGACAAACTCATTTAGCCTTTTTGGAGTTTCTAGTCAGAAGTCGGGCTTTTTCAGTTTGCATCTGAGATCCAAGGTTATTTCTTCATGAAGCAAGATAGAGAAAAACTGTCTTCACTACTTTTGAGCTATTCATGGATTAAAGCCATATATATATTTAACCAGAAAGCTTGTAGAAGACTAAAAGATGGTGATTGGAAATCTCAGGTTTGCTTTGCCTCATATGGCTTAAGGAGACACAGCATAACCTCATGTCCAACCGCTAAACAACGCCCACAGTGACACATAACTGTCAGTGTAGAAACAGAGGCCGGCAGAGGTGTAGGAGGACAAGGAGCCATAGTCAGTGAGGCTGCAGGTGCAGCAGGTCATGGCCACTAACCAGACCTGGTTTCTTACCCCTCACTCACCTCGAGTAGGTACCAAGATCTTCTCATGAAGAACCCTCACACAACATGATACAAGCTATTTTTAATCACAGAATCTTCTTCTAGGTTGGAAGGGACCTTAAAGATCATCTTGGCCAACCATCAACCTAATTTTGACAAAAATAAACACCCACACAACAAACAAAAACAAAAAGCAACATCATCAGTAAACCATACCTCCCAGCACTACACCAACCCATCTTTTGAACACCTCCAGGGATGGTGCCTCAACCACCTCCCTGGGCAGCCCATTCCAATGTCTGATAACCCTTTCAGTGAAAAAATTTTTCCCAATATCCAGCCTGAACCTCCCCTGGCGTAACTTGAGGCCATTTTCTCTTGTCCTATTGTCTGTGACTTGGGAGAAGAGACCGACCCCCACCTCTCTACACCCTCCTTTCAGGTAGTTGTAGAGAGCAATAAGGTCTCCCCTCAGCCTCCTCTTCTCCAGGCTGAATAACCCCAGCTCCCTCAGCCTCTCCTCATAAGACTTGTGCTCCAGTCCCCTCACCAGCTTTGTTGCTCTTCTCTGGACCCGCTCCAGCACATTACTGCTGTTTCCACTACCAGAAAATACTTGGACAGGACACCTCATCCGTCTGGGTGCCCATTACAATCATAGCATCGTTTCGGTTGGAAAAGACCCTTCAGATCATCAAGTCCAACCGCAAACCTAACACTGCCAACTCCGCCACTAAACCACGTCCCTATGCCCCAGATTTATGCATCTTTTAAATACCCCCGGGGATGGTGACTTAACCGCTTCTCAGGGCAGCCTGTTCCTGCGCTCGACAACCCTTTTGGTGAAAAAATTTTTCCTGATATCCAATCTAAACCTACCCAGGCACAACCTGAGGCCGTTTCCTCTTGTCCTGAGGAAACGCTCAGCACGCCACCACCCACCACCATGCCCCTTCAACGCCGAGGGACAAGGAAACCACCAAGGAGGATGGGGATCACCTCATCCCCTGAGACTACAACCATCGAAGACCGAGGGGAGGGGCGAGGCGGGTAAAAGAAAGCGAAACAAGGGGCAGAAACCGCTTCCCGTGAGTGCGGGGAGGGAGAGGGTGTTCCGCCCAGAGCAGTCTCCGGCCGCCGGCGAGGCGCAGCCTCTCCTCCGGGCGAAACAGCCCCCCCCGCTCAGGCCGGGGCCCAACGGCCCTAATGGACACCGGGCCTGACGGACACTGACCCCCGCATCGCACCGCACCGCGCGGCAACGCGCTGGGCCGCGCGCCGGGGGCGGGCCCAGCTCCGCCCCGCAGCGCCCCCTCCGCCATTTCACTGGGCCTGCGAGGGGAGGTTGCTGGTTGTGAGGT